GCTGCATGATCATAACTCACAGCAGCCTCAAACTCCTGGGCCCCAGGGATCCTCCCACCTCAGCCACGATTATAAGCATGAGCAACCTGACTCAAAGACATGCCTGACTCAAAGACAGTTTGTTTGGGATTTTGTCTTTTTTTTTTTTTTTTTTTTAAGAAACAGAGTCTGGCTCTGTTGCCTAGGCTGGAGTGCAGTGGCACCATCTTGGCTCTCTGCAACCTCTGCCTCTGAGATTCAAGAGATTCTTGTGTCTCAGCCTCCTGAGTAGCTGGGATTACAAGCACCCGCCACCATGCCAGGCTAATTTCTGTATTTTTAGTAGAGATGGGGTTTCACCATATTGGCCAGGCTGGTCTCAAACTCCTGACCTCAAGTGATCTGCCCGCCTTGGCCTCCCAAAGTGCTGGGATTACAGGTATGAGCCACCATGACCGGCCAAAAGACAGTTTTTTGATCGTCAAGGTTTTACCTGATTTGGCCCCAGGCTCAGCCAATTCCATTTCCTCCTACTCCCTGCTCCATTCAGCCACACTGACCTCCTGTCCTTCAAATGATATCAAGCACATTTTTACTTCGGTGTCTTTCTCTTCCCTCTCTCTAAATCTCTGCATAGCTGTCTCCTTTTCAATCCTCAGATCTCAGCAAAAGTGTCACAGCCTCAGAGAAGCCTTTCCTGACTTCCTGAGCAAAAGTAAATCTCTCCATGACTCTCTCTCTCAAACCCTCCTTCCCATCTTGTTCTTTATAGCTCGTATCTCCAAACTGTTTTGTTTGTGTGCTTTTCTATCTCTCACACTAGAAAGTAAGCTCCTAGAAGACATATTCATGTACTAATTGGTAGATAACAGGTATTAAGCATTGGTTTGAATGAATGTAAGTAATGGAGTTTCAAAGTCTGATTATCTGACAGAAATACCAGGCATTTGATTCCATTGCAAATGACCAGTAATTGTGAGTTAGGAATTATATAACTTTCTAAAAATGAAAATAACAAGTGAAGCGAATTTTTAAAAAGACAGTAGTTTAAGCTGTCATTGCACTGGCTCTCAGCATCTTAGTGAAAGACCACAATTGTCATCCCTCTCACTGTTATGAAACTATGATAATTATGTTGGCTCAGATGAAGCTATTATTACTTTTCAAAATGTATTTGATATTTAATCAGTTTATCAAAAAATCAGTAACCTGTTGATGAGTTACATATTTTCTAATTTCTCTCCTTCTCTACTCTGGGCTCTGAGAAGCTGACTTTTATCAACAGCATAAATGGGGATGCTTTGACCTCTAACTCCTGGTTGGCTGAAGCAATGACAGGCAACAGCAGGACATCAAAAGTGGGATGAAGAATGGAACTTGATCTGAAGTACTAAAACATGAGATGCAAGGAAAAAAAAAAAAAGGAATGGAACTTGAAGAGTATTCCTGTAGCTTCTGGCTGGATCACCACAGGCTGGCTAGCTTGGCATATCAAACTGAAACCGCTTTTGCAAAATTATGACTGAGACAGTGAAAGAGATCTAACTTAATCTACTCCATTTTGCTTCTAATTTCCAAGTTGTCCTTATTCATTCCTGGCCATGGGGTGAACTAACTTTGGGAGAAACTTAGTTTATAGTTTAAAACGAAGATGATAGGACCCTTTCCCAAAGCAGACCTCCTTCTTGCCTGAGGACAATATTGCTTTTGTAGGACTAACATTAGCTGTAAGATTAGAAATTATGGTTTAAGAATCATGGAACTGGAGGCTTCAAGATTTTCTTCATGTATCTCAGTGCTTGAGATACTTTGCAGACTCTGCACTTGATGGATCCTCTGGTACCACCCAGATCGATGAACTGGCTCATCTGATCTTGTGGTCCCTACCCAGGAACTGACTCAGTGCTTTGACTTCCTACAATTTCATTTCTGACCTGACGAATCAGCACTCCCAGTTCACTGGCTTCCCCCGACCCACTAATTTGTCCTTAAAAATTATGCTCCTGGCCAGGTGCAGTGGCTCAATCCTGTAATGACAACACTCAGGAATGCTGAAGTGGGTGGATCACCTGAGGTCAGTTTGAGAGCAGCCTGCCCAACATAGTGAAACCTGTCTCTACTAAAAATACAAAATTAGCCAGGCATGGTGGTGCATGCCTGCAATCTCAGCTACTTGGGAGGCTGAGGCAGGAGACTCACTTGAACCCAGATGGCTGGGTTGCAGTGAGCCAAGACAGCGTGGGTGACAGAACAAGACTGGGTGACAGAGCAAGATTCCATCTAAAAACCAAAACAAAAACAAAACTCTGCTCCCCAAATGCTTGGGGAGAATGATTTGAGTAATAATAAAACTTCTGTGTCCCACACAGCTGGCTCTGTGTGAATTACTCTTTTCTACTGCAGTTCTTCTATCTTGATGAATGAGTTCTCTCTAGGCCAGGGGCAAGATGTATCCCCTGGGCGGTTACAGATTCAAAGGCCACAGTTCTTTCAGGTGGCTTCGCCTGTGGTCAGTCTGGCAAGGTGCTGGTTTTGCCCTCCAGGGCTAGAAGAGGTAAGGGCTTCCTGCTATTGTAGCTCTACCGTCTGGAACTGCACTTACCCTTGCTCTGCCCTAACTCCGTTCACACCCTTGGGAACAGCTCCTTTATTTGCATCTCCTTGCTTCTCCTGTTTGAACTTGCCCAACTTTTAACCTGCTTGGATCCTGAGTCATTCATTGTATGACTCAGACTCCTGAGAATTTGAAAGTCACAGATCTATGACTAGAAACAAATTAAAGCAAGTGTTTGTAGCCAATGGGAAATGTTAACAATGTATAGCAGTCCATGCGCAAGGGCGCTGTTATTTCCAATATGGAGTGTGATATTATAAAACAAGCTATGAAAAGAAACTAAATAAAAAGAGCATGTGTTATTTTCTCAAAGGACACTTCGAGAGTTAAGAATGCTCCTATTTGAAAATAACCTATACATGGTAGGGCAATAAAATAGGGGGTCACCTGGCTTAGCTCCGTTCTGTTCGAGAGAATGCACACATTCATATAAGATACATTTAATCATCTTATATATATTTATTATATTTTAAAACAAGGGTCCACATACCACTCATATATTACATTATGAATTAACAGCATGATTTGAGAAAAGTAATTTTGTTAATTATTTTTATATAACCAATGCAGAGCAACAATGTATCATAACGTTTACTTTATATGGTAGCCATCGTAGGAAGTGGAGGAGGTTCTAAAGTAGGCACAGCAAACAGGAGAAAGGGGAAATATCTTGCCCTTAGCCTAGCCCTGCCAACAAATCACTTAGGACACACTACAAAAGACTTTCATTCCCAATAACTCCTGCTTTCCAAGATTAACCATGAATAGCAGGAACCTCCTAAAAGCCTGGACTAAGGGGAAATCCTAAAAGCTTTGCCTCTAGAGATAAGGCACAAAAACAAGAACATCCTGTTTTCCTAACCAAAAACCAGGAACATCTTGTTCTTATCCAATCAGAAAGAACTGCCATATCTGAGCTATAAATATCTGCCATTTCATCTGAGCTATAAGTTCTTATTCTATTTAGCGAGCCACTCTCTGAAAGTCTTTGATTTTCTTGAACTGCAAGTAAAAATGTCTCTCTGTACTTATATTGTCTCTGAACCTTATTTTGGCCAAGGGTTCCTGAATGGATTTTGTGGGGGGAGTCCTGAAGTTGGGTAATCTAGGACTGGCTTCATGGGTGGGCAAAATGTGCAGTCACACAGGTCCCACCCTGGATTTAGCGCTCTGCTATTACCACCATGAAATTCTTCATCATTTGTTTAAAAAACAAATTACATTGCTGGTTTTGGATGCACCATTGACTTCTGCTGGGTACTCAAATAGAGTAGAAAAAGGATCTTTGACATCTGACAGATCTTTTTATTTAGGAAAGCTCTCACCTTCCTCTACAAAATAGCATGATGCCACAGGTGTGTGTGATGCTTATGATATGTATTAGGTTGGTGCAAAAGTAATCGAGTTTTGTTTTTTTTTTTTTTTTTTGCCATTTAAAAGTAATGACAAAGTCCACAATTAACTTTTGCACCAACCTATATTTACCATGTTTGATACCTAAAAGCTCTATAAACAATAGTTCTGAACTGTCCTACTTTGAAGTACATCTATACCCTTGAGCAATACTTTTCTCAGTAGGAGTCTGAACAGAAGCAGCATTCATTTCATTTAGCTTTTGCTTTTGTTTTTAGAGACAGGGTCTGCTCTGTTGCCCAGGCTGGAGTGCAGCGGTGTGATCATGGCTCACTGCAGGTTCAATCTCTCACGCTCAAGCCATCTTCCAACCTCAGCCTCCCACATGGCTGGGACTACAGGCATGAGCCACCTCATCTGGCCTCAATAAGTTTTTGAGTGACTGAGAGCTGAGCTCCTGCTGTGTTCACTTCTTCATTCCCAGTCATTCCTCTCGTTAAAATCAGGCTGCATTCTCCTCCACCACCACTTCAATGACCATTTATGACTTTCTTACTGTTAAATCACTTTCAAGTCTTCCCTTACTTGACCTCTCTACAGCATGTGGCAATCTCATCACTTGTTTATCTTCTGCAGTACCCCGCATCCTGTTTTCTCCCACCTCTTTAGCTACTTGTTCTGTGTCAATTACTAGTCAACAAATGCTCACTCTCTTGGAGGACTTTTTTTTTTCCCCCTCCTGAGACACAGTCTTGCTCTTGTTGCCCAGGCTGGAGTACAGTGGTGTGATTTGGGCTCACTGTAACCTCCGCCTCCTGGGTTCAAGCGATTCTCCTGCCTCAGCCACCCAAGTAGCTGGGATTACAAGCATGTGCCACCACACCCGGCTCATTTTTGTATTTTTAGTAGAGATGGGGTTTCACCATCCTGGCCAGGCTGGTCTTGAACTCCTGTCCTTGTGATCTGCCTGCCTTGGCTTCACATGGTGCTGGGATTACAGGCATGAACCACCTCGACAGGCCTTGGAGGACTTTTTGTTGTTGTTCTCTACACGCACGTGTTAGGTGATCTCATCCATTCCTATATCTTCAATTTCCACCTATATACTGGTGATTCCTGCTACGGATATGTAGCTGTTAGGGTGTTTTGAGAAGCAACAAACAGAAAACTCAACTCCACTGATTTTATTAACAAGAGAAGGAAATGACTGAGTTATGTAAGAGGAAGGATGATGCTCAGGCATGTTCAGTCAGGACCATGGTTTTTCTTCTATAATTCTCATACTCTGCCTTCCTCTAACTTCAAGCTGGCAATGAGAGAGAGAGTGTTGCTTCACAAAGCATTGTTGTAAGATTGAGAAAGCTTTCCCAGAAATTTCCAGCAAAATGTTTTCTTCTTCTTCTTGGCCCCAAACAAGTACTTTCCCCCATGCCTATATTTGAACCAATCCCTGTGGCCGAGGAAATACAGTTTTCCCTCAGTATCTGTGGAAGATTTGTTCTAGGACCCCTACGGATACCGAAGTTCACATATATTCAAGTTTCTTTTTTTTTTATAAAGATGGGGTTTCACCATGATGGCCAGGCTGGTCTTGAACTCCTGACCTCAGGTGATCCACCCACCTCAGCCTCCCAAAGTGCTGGGATTACAGGTGTGAATGGAGCCACCACACCTGGCCATACTTTAAACATCTCTAGATTACCTGTAATACCTAATGCAAGGTAAACAGTTATTATACTGTATTGGTTTTTAAATTCACATTTTTTACCTGAATAGTTTTCTCCATGGCTGGTTAAATCTACAGATGCAGAGCCTGCGGATATGGGGGGGTTGATTGTATCATAATTTCTTGGTTGCTTTAGGCTCAGTAATCCCTGAATCAATCACCAGAGTAATCACTGATTAGCTTTAATCTGGGTCCACCTCTGAAGATGGAGTCAGTTCCCCAAACCATGTGGCTGCTATAAAACCAGGAAGGAATTAAACAAGTATGGCAAGGCAACCACGGTATACATCAGATCTATCTCATCCATGGCAGGAGACCCAAAATAAGAAATCCTTGATACAGTTATGCTAAGCATCTGGGAGGCAGGCTTGGAGATACCAAAGGCGCTAAAATCTGCAGGAAATAATTATTAAAAAAACAGTCCTAAGAACTATGATATCATGCAGGCTTACTCAGCATGGACATTTACAATACACTGGCTAGAAATAATTTGGTTATTTTCCACTATGTAATATTTTAAAAAGGAAAGAATAAAAGCAGTTGTGACAACTTCCTTTGTCTCTCTGGAAGCACGTGGGAACCCAAACACTGAACATGTCATAAGACTGGGGCAGTGATCTGCACTTCCCTGATCTTGAAGAATCAGTGCTCACTGGAAAGACCTATATGGACAGCTATACGGCACTCAACAGATAGTGTGCTAACCTACCCTGTGTTAGCCTAACAGACTCCATCTTACTGATAGCCAGACAGACTCCATCTTAACCTCTGCCTCACCCCTACCGCCATTTCTCCCTTGAGTGCATATCTGGGTTCACACAGTGACATGAGTCATGTTGTACTTAGAACCATAGAAACATATAACGATTGTAAACATATCCTGCTTAACAAGCCACCTTGCTATTGTGAACACCCCTTGATTAATTATACGGAAAGTACCAATGCCCCCCTTGGTAACCAGCAATCATGGGAACCACTTGTGTATACCCTCCTTAGTTAATCAAGAATCATAGGAGCCTCCTCCCCTAACCTGAGTATTCTGCTTCTATAAAATTCTGCTTCAGCTAGGCTCCCCCTCCCCTACCTAAATCAAGGTATAAAGGGAAATCAAGCCCTTTCCTCGGGAAGGAGAGATTTTGAGTGTGAGCTGACTCTTGGTCGCCAGCAATAAAGGACTCATTATTCAAACTCAGAGTGTGGCCCTTTCCATCTAACTCACTTGGTTATAAAAATAGGAAGCACCATGAGGTCCCGCCCTAATCTGCTCTGTTAAGGTCTTCCGAGCTCTAATTGGCTCCAGAGCAGCTGAGTATTTGTCCAAAAAATTACTGTACCCATGAGTAAATACCTGTACAGTCTTATCACTGCAATTCAATCTCTTCTTTAAAATCAAACCAGCACCATTTCCAGAACTACAGCTCCAAGCCTGTATTTACATAGACACACCTCAAAATCCACATGTCCAAAATTTAAATAACCTCTCCCCTCTTAAGAAGAATAATAATAATAACCTCTCTAATCCTCTTATTTCAACAGATGGCACTATGAGCCACCAAATTATCCAAACCCAAAGCCTAGAAATTAATGTCAACTCTTCACTTTCCCTTACTCCCAACCCCATCCCAATCAACCTTTAAACCCTACAAATTCCACCTCCATTACCTCTTTTGTGTGTGTGTGTGTGACAGAGCAAGACTCTTAACGTGACTCCAAGACGTTTATGTGAACTTCTTCCCTTTACCAGTAAAATCTTGCCCCTACTCTTCCCTTCTGCAGACCAGTGGCTTGCATAGCTATATATCTTGGATTAGAATTCTTTTTACTTACTCCAAAAGAAACTCAGCATCTTTAGAGAAACCCTTCTCTGTTGTCTTTTAGCTTCACAGTGCCAAACAATAAATATTTTAGAGGAAGACTCTATCACACACACACACACACACACACACACACACACACACACACCCCCCAGAGGTAGCGCAGTGGCATGGTCTTGGCTCACTGCAACCTCCGACTCCCAGGTTCAAGTGATTCTCCTGCCTCAGACTCCCAAGTAGCTGGAATTACAGACACACACCACCACGGCCAGCTAATTCCGTATTTTTAGTAGAGACAGGATTTCACCATGTTGGCCAGGCTAGTCTCCAACTCCTGACTTCAGGTGATCCACTTGCCTCAGCCTCCCAAAGTTCCTGGGATTACAGGCACAAGCCACCATGCCCAGCCTCCATCACCTCTTGAATCTATCCATTCCACTGCTATTACTTTAGTTTAAGCTATCAACAAAAGTCTCCTGTCTGGGCCAGGCGCACTGGCTTATGCCTGTAATCTCAGGAACTTTGAGGGGTCGAGGCAGGCGAATCACCTGAGGTCAGGAGTTTGAGACCAGCCTGGCCAACAGAGTGAAACCCTGACTCAGTTACTAACAATACAAAAATTAGCCTGGCTTGGTGATGCACGCCTGTAGTCCCAGCTACTCAGGAGGCTGAGGAAAAAGAATTGCTTGAAGTCCCTGCCACTCAGGAGGCTGAGGCAGGAGAATCACTTGATCCCAGGAGGCGGAGGTTGCGGTGAGCCGAGATCACTCCACTGCACTCCAGCCTGGAAGACGGAGCGAGACTCTGTCCCCCCCCACAAAAAAAAAAAAGTATTCTATCTAGTCACCCAGCCTCCACCTGTGAACAGCCCATTTACCATATAACAGCTATTGTTATCTTTCTAAAACACGTCTTTCCTATGCATGCCCTGTCTTTGCTTAAAATCCATCAATGACTCTGCCCAAAGTTCTATAGAAAAAGCCTAAACTGTTTAACATTTAGGCCATCAGGTTGCATCTTAGCTTTCTAGATCAGGAGAGGGCACATGGGCAAATGGCTCAAAGGTCAAATCCAGTCCACTGCCTGTATTTGTACAACAACTTAAGGATGGCTTTTACATTTTTCAGTGGCTGAAAAAGATCAAAAGATGAGTATTTCATGACAGTTGAAAATTACATAAAATTCAAACTTCAGTGTTTAGGATAAGGTCTTATTGGAACACAGCCCCACCCACTCATACTGTCTATGGCTGATTTTAAGCTACAAGTTGAATAGCTGTGACCAAGCAGCATGGCCCACAAAACCTAAAATATTTATTGTGGCACTGTGAAGCTAAAAGACAACAGAGAAGGGTTTCTCCAAATATACTGAGTTTCTTTTGGAGTAAGTAAAAAGAATTCTAATCCAAGATGTATAGCTATGCAAGCCACTGGTCTGCAGAAGGGAAGAGTAGGGGCAAGATTTTACTGGTAAAGGGAAGAAGTTCACATAAATGTCTTGAAAACAAAGTCCATTGGTTCCCGAGGCTCAAATAAAGAACCGCAGTTCGTTCATTGGTGGAGGTGCTGCTGCTGCGCCAAACGTCCTTTTGACAGTAGCTTATCTGAAGTGCTGCAGTTTAGCAATAAATGATGCCATAGAAATGTGTGTTTATTTGCAAAGTGAGCTAGTTGTGCAAAGCATGAAAGACGTGAAGAAATTGTTGCGTGTTTTTTGGTTTATGTTTTTAAGTCCTTGAAACTTTTTTTTTTTTTTTTTTTTTTGGAGATGGAGTCTTGCTCTGTCACTGTTGCCCAGGCTGGAGTGCAGTGGCGCCATCTCGGCTCACTGCAACCTCTGCCTCCTGGGTTCAAGCGATTCTCCTGCCTCCGCCTCCTCAGTAGCTGGGATTACAGGAGCCTGCCACCACACCCCGCTATTTTTTTAATTTTTAGTAGAGATAGGGTTTCACCATGTTGGTCAGGCGGGTCTGGAGCTCTCCTGACTTTGTGATTCGCCCGCCTGGGCCTCCCAAAGTGCTGGGATTACAGGCCGCCGGCCTTGTACAGTTCTTATCTCAGACAGACGTGCGTAAGTTCCCCTCCTGCAAGACGGGTTGCTTCACCAGGGAGGCCAAACACACCCACCTCTGCACTCAGCACCTGACTCTGCACCCAGCTCCCGGCTCTGCACTGGGCACCCGGCTCTGCACTCGGCACCTAGCTCTGTGCATGGCTTACCCGGAAGGCTCAGGCTAATACAAACCTGGCTGGCCCCTGTACTAGAAAAACCCGCCCAACAACAGCCAACCAATAGCGGCCCGCCCCATCCCAATCCCGCTCCCCTGGAGCCAATCAGAGCACCCAGCTGTTGCCGGTTCCCCATAGCCACAAAAACCCAACGCCCCAGAAAGTCAGCGGGACTTCTCTGGCCCCCTTTCCCTGGACCATCGAAACTCGCCCTCGCCCGGGAGCTGAATAAATTGGCATTTAATTTTCTTATACTGGCCTGTTTCCTCATTTTAAACTCGGCAATAACCCTTATACCTCCTTCACAGTCTCTGGGCTCCAATTTGTCTAGATCTGACAATAGTTTCTCCTAGAATCCGCAATTTTCGGAGCAAGTGGTAACCCCTACCCTACACTCAGTCGATCACTCGCCGGTGTAACCATCCCAAACGATCTGCAGACCACCCTTTTCGCTCTGATCTGTACTCCCTCAACCACGGGTGCTTCTATAGAACCAACCCCATCTAAGCATTTAACAATTATTCTAATTACCCTTTTACTTGTCTGACGCAAGTGTTCGCCACTCAATCCTCAGCACCCAGCACGATCCCTGGCCCTCATTCAGCGCTTAATAAATGCATGTTGATTGAATGCGCAGCAGCCGACACAGGCGAACAGGAGTGGGTTCCAATTTTCGAGGAGCTTAAAAAAGAAACCCAGCATATAAACAACAGATTAATCTACAAAGAATAAAACAAAAACACTAAAACGCAGCAAGTACTCTGCAGCAGAACCAAAGAGAAAATTCCACCTGTGGAAAGGTGCCCTTTCTTTAGGATGCTTCCTAATTTGGATACAGGTTCCCTCCTCCTTCATGACGAAATTCTGAGCGAGGTTACTTTTTGGCACGCAGTGTCCTCATCTGTAAAATAGGCTAATTCTGACTTAACCGGATTATAATGAATATGGTTAATTTTAAAAAATACGGTTAATTGTTGAACTCAGGTATAGAAAGCACGTAGCTCAGTGGACGCTTCCTAGAAAGTGCTCAGTAAATTCGGATCCTCGAAAACGCTCCGTTTGATGTTAACTGAGTCCGTATCCACGCGGGTTTCCAGCGTGCATCGCCAACGGTGTGGCCTAGCGTCCACCGCAACCTTTCAGTAAGAGCTGCGACCTCTCGGCGCTCCCTTCGCCACAGAAGCGTTTTCGGCTCGTGGCGTCGCGACAGGGCTTCGTGCTGGGATGAACTCCCGGGAAACTTCCTGCAGCCTAACCCCGGCGGAAGCCAGTGAGGTGAAAGAACTACAACTCCCGTGGGCTGCACCGAGCTTAGGGCCTCTGTATATTTTATCATACCCAGCCTCTTCCGCGCAGCTCTCAGTGGCTCCGCCCCAAAGGGGGCTCTCTCCTTTCCTTGTGGAGTCTGAAGCGTGGCCACGCCCCGGTCACAGAAAAAATCCGTGTGACGTCATAAAACCTACGCGTCGCGCGGGGATCGGGAGTTCGCGGACGGTCCCTGGCTCGTTCTGGAGGCCTTGGGACCGCGGAAGAGGCCCCAGACGGTGCAGCGATGCCTCGCCCACGGCGGGTCAGTCAGCTCCTGGATCTGTGAGTCTACCCTGTCCCGCCTCCCTTCGCACCGCCCCGGCACCTCCTCCAAACGGCCAGGCCCTGCGCTGCTCTTCCTCTCTTCCTCCCCGCCCCTTTCCCACCTCCCCTCCCCGACCTCTAAAGAGGCCCTGCGCGTGTTTCTGTGCCTGGGTTCCCGATCTGTCATTTCCCGGCTGAGGACAATTGTGCAAAGTGGGTCGCTGGGCGGGCTTGCCCCTCCTCCCTATGTCCTGCTTGCTGCGCGATGAGTGTCCATTCTTCAGTCTGCCTTGACAGCTCGGCGCCCTGGCTGTTCCTGGCAGTGGCCTGTGTCAGCAGCTAAAAGCCTTGGTAGAACACAACACAACACTAGATGAGGCTGTCAAAGGCTTCCAGCAGAATTCCACCTCTGTAACGGGGATAAACATTGAGAGACCCTGGGATGAGCGTAGGAAAGTGGTTAAGAGCACGGATCCCTGGCTGAAATTGCTGGGTTCAGCCCCCAGCTCTGCCATTCACCAGCCACGTGACCATGGACGGGTAACGTAACCTCTCTCTGTGCCTAAGTTCTTTCTTTCTTTCTTTTTTTTTTTTTTTGAGACGGAGTTTCGCTCTTGTTACCCAGGCTGGAGTGCAATGGCACGATCTCGGCTCACCGCAACCTCCGCCTCCTGGGTTCAGGCAATTCTCCTGCCTCAGCCTCCTGAGTAGCTGGGATTACAGGCACGCGCCACCATGCCCAGCTAATTTTTTGTATTTTTAGTAGAGACGGGGTTTCACCATGTTGACCAGGATGGTCTCGATTCTCTCGACCTTGTGATCCACCCGCCTCGGCCTCCCAAAGTGCTGGGATTACAGGCTTGAGCCACAGCGCCCGGCCCTAAGTTCTTTCTTTACAAAATTAATGTGATAATAGCACCCATCTCATGGAGTTGTCCTGAGGGATATATTTAACCCATGTAAAACTCTTATAAGGATGCCCAGCAAATAATAAACACTACTATGTGTTACTGTTATTTCCTACCAGAAATTGTACTGGAAATGGAGGTTACAAGGGCAATTTTCAGTCATGTAAAAAATAGACATCTTAAGGATAAGGAGAACAATCTCCTTAATCTACTGAAGGCTTTCTAAAGCAATAGCATCTGATATTTCACATTATATTTCATAAACTCCTGGCCCGCAGTCCACAGCCATTTTTCATAAAACAGGAATCAGTTGGCTGTGATGTAGATGTCTGATCTTAGTGTAGATTCAGACCTAGGTAGTCCTGAGAAGATCTTGCTTCAGTTCTTGGCATAAATTGTACACCTGATCCAAATGGGATTTTATTTCCATCACTAAAAGAATGGTTGCTAGCCAGGCGTTTTGGCTTCTGCCTCTAATCCTAGCACTTTGGGAGGCTGAGGTGGGCGGATCATCTGAGGTCAGGAATTCGAGACCAACTAGGAGTTTGAGACCAACCTGGCCGACATGGTGAACCCCGTCTCTACTAAAAAATACAAAAATTAGCCAGGCGTGGTGGCAATCACCTGGACTTCCAGCTACTTGGGAGGCTGAAGTGGGAGAATGGCTTGAACCCCAGAGGTCAAGGCTGCAGTGAGGCAGATTGCACCACTTCAGCCTGAGTAACAGAGTAAGACCTTGTCTCAAAATAGATAAATAAATAACTATAATATGGCCAGGGATGGTGGCTCACTCCTGTAACCCCAGAAAGTTGGGAGGCCGAGGCAGGTGGATCACTTGGGGTCAGGAGACTTGGAGACCAGCCTAGTCAATATGGCAAAACCTGGTCTCTACTAGAAACAGAAAATTAGCTGGGTGTGGTGGCGCGTGCCTGTAATCCCAGCTACTCAGGAGGCTGAGGCAGGAGAATCGCCTAAACCCAGGAGGCGGAGGTTACAGCGAGCTGAGATTGCACCACTGCACTCCAGCCTGGGCAACAGAGCGAGACTGTCTCAAAAAAATAAAAATAAATCAATAACTATAATATTTGTAGAATAATATCATAAATGGAAGAGTAACAAACTGAAATTTCTAATAAGGAAAAGAATAGGAGAATGCTTTGTAAAGGGGGTTATTTTTGAAGATTGATAGTATCTGACAGTTGCAAATGAGAGGAAATCATCCAAGAGAGGGTAAAATAAAAAGAGTAAAGTTTTGACAGGCAGGAAAGTTAGAAATATGAGAGAAGACCAAAAAGTAGCACTCCAATGTGAATGGAAGATACAATATGAATAGCATAGTAGTGAGACATAAAGCCAAATAATTGGGTAGTAGAATCTTAGGGACCAGGACGAAGTAAGAGCATTTCCTCTTTTAGTCATGGGGCGCTATCAAAGGTTTTAGCTATCAAAGTGAGATTTGAATTAGGCAGAAGTTGGAAACAGGGAGACACTTCCTAAGTGTTAGAAAATCTTAAGGGGTGGAAAGCCTAAACCAGGAGACATGTGAAGATGTTCTTTGCAGAATTGTTTCTGGTGGCAAGGAGCTGAAATAGGCGAGGTACAATGGAATATTACGCAGCTGTTAGAAAAGCAAAGGGTAAGGCCGGGCGCGGTGGCTCAAGCCTGTAATCCCAGCACTTTGGGAGGCCGAGGCGGGTGGATCACAAGGTCAAGAGATCGAGACCATCCTGGTCAACGTGGTGAAACCCCGTCTCTACTAAAAATACAAAAAAAATAGCTGGGCATGGTGGTGCGTGCCTGTAATCCCAGCTACTCAGGAGGCTGAGGCAGGAGAATTGCCTGAACCCAGGAGGCGGAGGTTGCAAAGCCGAGATCGCGCCATTGCACTCCAGCCTGGGTAACAAGAGCGAAACTCCATCTCAAAAAAAAAAAAAAAAAAAAAGAAAGAAAGCAAAGGGTAGGCCAGGCATGGTGGCTCACACCTGTAATCCCAACACTTTGGGAGGCTGAGGAGGGTGAATTGCTTGAAGCCGGGAGTTCGACAATAGCCTAGGCAACGTGGCAAAACCGTGTCTCTACCTAAAAATAAAACAGCCAGTCTCACAGCTTGGTCTCAAAACTAAATAAATAAAAATTAAATAAATTAAAAAATGAAAGAAAGCAAAGGGTAGATTCACATGGATAGAACTTTAAAATGTAATGCTTCGTGAAAAAAGAAGAAACAGACTAACAATGTTAAGAAAAATTTTTCAGAACTTGCAGGCAAGGCAAAGGGATGACCACATGATCTTCAGTGTCATGTTAGGGTGGCATGGAGCTAGAATAGAGCTGTGGTCCTAAGTAAAGGTCCATATTTGCCGTTAGAACCAAATTTTGTACCCTTTTGGGACAAGGTACGGTCTGAGGCTGGCAGTTTGTCAGCAAGCTGTTTCTAGTTTGTAACAGAGTAAGAAGCTTGAGCCAGACTAGTAATTAACTGTGTCACTAAGCACGCCATTTAATCCAGCTGATGAGGCTTTCTCCATGAAGGAAACTGTGCTTGGTTTATGTTGTTCCATAAACTCCTTATCTCCTCACTGACCAGCACTTTGATTAACACTCCCTTAGAGAATCCTTTGGATCTGGGATAATGAATAGTTTTGAATAGAGAGACCAAGGAAAGAGAAGAATTAGAAGTTACTTTTTTAGTTTTTAGCTTCATTGACAGGTAGAATGATGATTAGACTATGATGGTGGAAGAAATGTCTTACCGGGAAAATGAATCAGAATATTCAGTAGAAATGTCAAGCAGACAGAATATAATTTTGAATCTGAAAGAGAGATCAAGGATTAGGCCAGGCGCAGCAGCTCATGCCTGTAATCCGAGTACTTTGGGAGACTGAGGCAGGCAAATCGGTTGAGTTCAGGAGTTTGAGACCAGCCTGGCCAACATGATGAAACCCTGTCTCTACCAAAAATACACAAAAAAATTAGCCAGGTGTGGTAGTGCATGCCTGTATTCCCAGCTACTTGGGAGGCTGAGGCAGGAGAATTGCTTGAACCAGGGAGGCAGAGGCTGCAGTGAGCCAAGATGGTGCTACTGCACTCCAGCCTGGGTGACAGAGTGAGACTCCATCTCTAGATAAATAAATAAATAAAATTAAAGATCAAGGATTGAGACTAAGATTGGGGGTAAAACTTTGTAGATGATAGGAAGTTGTGGTTTAGTTTAAAGGAGTGGCTATAGAAAGAAAAAAAGAAAGTCAAGGACAAAATTTAATGTAACACTTACATTAGAAGCAATCCATGTTGCCAAAACTCTTTTCTTTGTTAGATCAATTCACCATATAATGAATTGGCCAAAAACTAATAGGTTGTTTCTTTTAACTATAAAACGTAGAGCAACTAATATTGAATGGGATATCTACCCATCTCCTCTATTGTTTCACAGCTTTTAAAGATTTTAAGTTTTAGCTGACTTATTTTGAGAAATGAGACTGTCCATGCAAACTGTTGCGCCTGAGAATCAACACCACTTATGTCAACATAATTTTTTGCTTTAGGAAATTTTTGCAAATCAGTTTATCTAAATAAACAGCTATCAGGACAAACATTTTGATTTTTAGGGTAAAAATGTTTATCTGGACAGATTGCTCATCAAGGCTTATTTCTTGTATCCATAAGTTTTAAACTACTAAGTCACAAACTTTGCCTAATTCTTACCCATTCTCCACCTTGGGGGAAGAAATACCCACTTAAACTGGTGGAGTTTATATCCCAGAACTTGATGTATACTCTTGCCTAACTTTCCCTTATTGAAACATTACCAAACCCTGTCAAGGTGATCTCCCTTGCCATAGTAAATTTAATACATGATTTGACAAATTTAATAACTTTGGTTGACCAGCAGGCTTTCTGGATGGGCTTTGTGGCCACTGAATAATCCTCCCAGAATTTTAAGAACTATTTGATTTGTTTCTGTCCCAACTCCCTGCTAATTGCAGCTGAAGGGAACTGGAGCACAAAGAGGAAACCATTTACTTTGGGAAACAGATGGTACAGCCTGTACTGCTGAGCTCAGAGAAGAGAATACTAAAGGGCTAAGATGAAAAAGACTGAAAGAAGAGGGTGGCGGTGGGGGGCAGAGAGCCATGTTGTGGGAAAAAGGAAACATATTGAAATATACCTGAAATC